CATCCTGCTCATCCCAGTGCTTGGGAAGCAGAGGCAGGAAGACCTAAGTTGTAGGGTCACCCTCAGCTGCACAAGGAGCCATGGAGCCAGCTTGGACCTATAGGAGATCTTATCTCCAAAAATCAAAATTACAAAATGTATTATTTAAAATAAAATGAAGATGCCTCTTCTGTCTCATGAAACAGTGGCTTCGAAAACACTCGGAAAATCCCCTCACTCCCAGATGATATGATCTCACTATGTAGCTCTGGCTGTCCTGGAACTCATTATGTTGTCCACACCGGCCTTTACCTCACAGATACCTGCCTGTTTCTGCCTCCCAATCAAGTGTTGGGGTTAAAGGCATGTATTCTTATGCCTGGCTGTTTTTATTTAGTTTAATTGAATTTATTTATTTATTGAGGCAGGGTTTTCATGCATCCATCCCAGCCTGACTTCAAACTCCATTGATCACTGAACATGACCTTCAACTTCTGATGCTGCCTCCACCTCCTCCGTGCTGGGATCACAGGTGTGTGCCTCCACATCTGCTGGCGCTGTGGAGCTGAGACTCAAACTCTGGGCTTCCTACACATTACACAGTAGACCACCGATGGAGCCTCATCCCAGCCTCAGAACTTTCTTCATGATGATACAGATTAAAAATGTCGTTTATTTAATTTTTATCATGGAGGCCGAGCATTGTGGCCCATGCCTGTAATTCTAGCATTCTAAGAGGCAGAGGCAGGTAGATCACTGTGTGTTCAAGGCCAGCCTGGTCTATAAAGCCAGTCCAGGACAGCCAAGGCTACACAGAGAAACCCTGTCTTGAAAAACCAAAAACCAAACTTAGCTGGAGCAGGGAGCAGAGTGCCACCGACATCTCAGCACATAACTGGAGTTCATAAATTACCTAAGGCCTGGGGGGGGCGCAGAGCCATCAGGCTGGCCACCCAGCAGTAGGCTTCCATCACTGTAAACATCCGTCCTTGAAACCGTGACTGACTTAGCACATCTCCTTGGAAAAGTAGGGTGAAGAGCACAGTATAATTTTAAGTAGAAATAATTTCCAGTCATCTGGAAAATGTTTCCCAAGTCACACATGATACTTGCTTTTGAGAGAAAGAATGCAGCTACATTCCTTTTTTTTTTTTTTTTTTAAGCTGATTTTAAGGCTTGAGGTGATGGTGGTAGTGGCAGTCCATACATGCAGGGGTGATGGGAGTTTAGGATGATGTGACTAAAAACAAAGCGAAGAACAAAAATAACACATTTCTGCTCACCAGTTCGCAGGTGCCTGCGTGTCACCAGTCTAAGGACTACAGTGCATGTGTGCGTTCTGCCACCAAAGGCTCATGGGTAGAGACATTGTGCTTCTGAGACTCTGGTTATTTATTCTTCCAGGGTTTGAGACAGGGAAGATTTTAAGGCACTAGTTCACAGGGTTGTACATGCTGACTGGTCTGGAATCAGTGGGGAAGCTGAATACATGCAGCCAGGATTTCTCTATGGGAGGCAGAGACAGATTCTTTTGGAGGCTGGAGAGATGGCTCTGTGGTTAAGAGTGGGTACGGAGGATTCGTGTTGGGCCCTCAGGCAGCTCACAACTGTAACTCTAGCCCCAAAGGGCTCTTGTGCCTCTGGCCCCCGCAGACACTGCAGTTACTTGATTGTACACAAACATACACACTTGCATAATTAAAAATATTAAACATAAGTCTTAGCATAAAATTAAGATTGCCTCCCTCTTTGAGAAACCTGTTCTCTCTTTTGAGGCCTTCAGCCGATTTGGACGAGGCTCACTCACACTGTGGAAGGTCAGTTGCATTTACTAAAAGTCCACTGGTTTTCCTCTTCTTCGCATCTGTAGAAATACCTTCAGCATTGTATGGATTGGAATTTACCAGACAACCAAGTGTCCTAATGTAGTTGAAGTTGATGGGTACAGTTAGCACAGGAGATGGCAGCCTTTAAGGTCCATCTGTCCACATGGCATAGATGATCACCTTATTCTAGGGGAAATAACTAATGACCAAAGAGCTCAGAGCAGGGTCCAGCCTTAGGACCTGTCTACCAAGCAGTGACCAGACAGCTGAGAGTGAGGACCCAAGCTGCAGTCCCAGGGCCTGTGCATTTCTTTCCAGGCTCCTGATTTCGACGGGACAGGCTCAGAGTCCTCCCGGAGGAGGGCTGCCAGCACATCCCGTTCCTCCGGCTTGAGGTCAGAGTTGACACTGGCCCTAGTCACTGTGGGGTGTGGCTCCTGCACTGCCTTAGACCTGAGCCCACAATGCAGGCTATGCAGCATCTTGGGATTTTAACACACAGTTGTCTAGCCTGGCTCCTTGGCTCACCTCTCTCTAAATTCTTCAGTTATCACTGTTTCTCATCCGTCTGTAGAACTTTTAAATATTCCTTTAAAAATAGCAACTGGATTATCTTTGTTGTTGAGACAGTATCTCACATAGCCCGGGCTGTCCTCAAACTTAGCAAGTATTGGAAGATTACCTCCCGGCTCCACCTCCCGAATGCTGGGATTATGGGTGCCACCATACCAGGTGTATAGGGTGCAGGGTCATAGCCAGGGCTTCGTGCCTGTGAGGTTAGCACTCTACCAACTGAGCTACACCCCAGTCCTCGATCAACTTCAGAAAGCAAAACAAAACAAACCCCAGCAAACTCAAAGAAAGAAATCGGGTACTGAGGGTGACTGCAGTGACAGTGTCCACCCACCATCCCTGCCCCCACCCTCCCAGCTGTGTGGTTTGGTTTATGTTCAGTAGGATCCCAAAATAGGGGAGGCCTGGTTGTGGGCCTCCCACTCCGGAAGCTCAAAATCTCATCGCCATGTTTGTCAAATGCCTGACGTCTGGGATTGTTTTATATTAACAATCAGTTTTGCTCACTAACTGTAAGTTTTATCCCGACCGAGGCCTGTGTTCTTAGATTGTACTGATTATCCGATTCCAAGTGACCCATTTAAAATGGCAAACCCCTACCTTAATCCAAAAAGAAAGTTAGAAGGAAGAAACAAGCTTAGGACTTTTCCTTTTTTACAGAAAAAAGTAATAAAAAAGGAGAATTTACTGGAGTCTATAAAGGCATAATTAAATAAATTAAACCAAAGGAACATAATTATTATATTAATAAACTATTATCTATGTTCTTATTCCAGTCAAATAAAATTTTTTCAAATTCTAGTTTGTTATGAATTAAGTGGTCAAAAATACTATTAGAAATTTGGAATTAAAAACATCTAACTTAAGCAGTTTTCTTTTTTAAAAAGAGTATATGTTTTACATATTTGCTTTCACTTAGGAAAAAAAACTTACTTAGAAAAAATACAACTTGGGTGTAGTACTCTGTGGTATAAACAACTAAACTATTTTGCTTTTTTACTTTTCCTATGAATGAGCCAGTATATACTTACTGGTGGAGTTCTTGCTATAAAATTCAGGTAAGGGGTTTAAATATACCCTAGAGTATTATTTAAAAATAAATTTGTTTCTTTCAAATAGAATACCAACCTTGGTCTGTTACATTTGGGAGAGAAATTAAAATATTGAGCTTTTATTGCCAAGTAAGCTGAAAATACAGTAAAGGTTAAGTAAACACAAATCAGAAATACATATATATATATACACACAAAATCACAGCCTCTAAAGACAGGCCGTCTACTGTTCTCTGCTGTGAGAGTTTTATCAGCTCTCGTAATTCTATCTCAAAGGCCGCGCCAGCGGGCAGAAATGTAAACAAGTGCCCACTTTGTTTATATAATGAAATATGTGGCCTGGTTTGTATTTCTTTATAGGTACCTAACAGCTGCATGGGTTGTTTCAAAGCACCAGCAGGGGCCAGCAGAGGGCTCTTCCAGAACAGAATTGGCATTGAGATATGTTTATTTGATGTGTTAAATCCTTTTTAGGCTTCTTTACTTACCACAACACTCTCTCTAAGTGAATGAATTGCACACAGTGGAATAAAATATCCAATGTGTTCAGACTATATTGGGGTGTAGCTTTTCTGTCTAATCTGCATATATTTTTAATGGCATGTTTGCCTAGGCTATTTCTTGGCAGGATTTTAATAGTCAAAATAAAAACGGCATCATTTAAAGGCTGTACTACTTGGCTGCAAAAAGCCTTAAAATTACAGGACAAAATGGTTGATGACAGCTTCTCTTCAGCATTTTTTTTTTTTTTAATTTCCCCTGGAGGAGGTGTTCGGTGTTTACAACAGTGTTACTAGGCTCATTTTGTAGTTCAGTCTGTCAACTTTCACTTTCATAACTGTGTTTTGCTGAAATATTTATCTGTTTAATTTAACGCTAAGGTTTTGCCCCTTGAAGTTTTCATATTTCTAAATGTATTCAACTGTTTGCACTTAACTCACTCTAAAAAATATTCTGATCCATATTCCCGGCATTAACTAACCTGACTGAATCCCCCAGTATGGCTACTGTTTGGAAATTCAATCTTGAGTTTGATACGCAGTCACACGGGTTCATTCCTACCCACTTCCTGTAATCCTATACCGTTGGGTGAAAATGCTAGTGGTCAGGCTCGCCTGGGGAAAGGGTAGGCACCGCGATTTCGGGAGTTGAGTGTTCGTTTTGTAGGGCTGGAGTGAAAAACACGGTTTCGAGTTGAAATGCAAGAAGCTTGTTGTTCCTGCGTTACTCATTCATGCAAATTGGCGAAGGTATAATTGAAACAAGGTTGGCTGTGTTTGAGTCAGGGCTGCAGCTGAGCTCAGCTTAAAGGTCGCTGGAAATCAAGTGCTTTGTCAGTGAAGGCATCCTGACTCCGCGAAACGTCAGTCTGGGGCATGGGTCGTCCTTTTCTATGAAATCTGGTAGCTCGAGTTGCCCTAGAGCTGAAGACCAGCCTCCTGACCAGCTTTTTTCACACCACCGATGGTTTTTTTTCCTCTGGATGCAGCGCAGCTGCTGCTATCCTGCCTACAGAGAAGAGATCTTTGTTTTGACTCTCAGCCCTGAACATGCTTGGAAATGAGAACAAATGGCACAGAGTTTACGATTGCACTTTGCAGCCAGAAGAAGCAAGACTTACCCTCTGTCGGAACCCTCCGGAGATGACCTGGATAGCCACGTTCACACACACGGCAAGAGGCCGCCCCGGATCTCAGTGGCCAGTGTGGTTCAAATGAGGCTGACCCCCAGACAGACGCCACTGGCTCCGTGGGTAGAGCAGAGATCATCGGAAAGCAGTGACAAGAAAAGCAGCTGCCTGCAGATTTCGCTGCAGCCCCGGGCCAGTGGGTGTCTTCCGCCTCGCACCGTGGTGGCTGACAGGGACGATACTTCCTTTACCTCTGTTCTGAAGGATGGCGTTTGCAGCAGCCCCGGGCCTGACAGCGAGCTGCCCGGTGCCAGCGATGGCAGCCTCTTCGGTCCCTCTGCTGTGTGCCACGGCAGCCTCGGCAACTTCTCAGCCAGTGACAGTGGGTCCTGCAGCAGCAGCGGCAGTGACTGTGGGTCTTGTGCAAGCACCGCCAGCAGAGGCTCCTACACCAGCAGCGTTGTGAGCGACAGCAGTGGCTACGAGACTTCACCTTCTGACAGCGCCTCCAGCAGAAGCGTGCCGGTCAGCGCCCATCCTCGTGAGGTTACGTGCACAAGTCCCAGTGGGCTTGCCTTTACCCATGAGGACCTGGAGCGTGGGGTCGAGATCATGAAGCTGCCAGTGAGCAGGAACGCAAAGGCCCCACTGAAGCGCTGCACGTCTTTGGTCATCTTCCCCAGGAGCCCTTCAAACACCCCACCGGCGTCCCCGACGAGCAGAGGTGCCTACCAGACCTCGCACCAGTTGGCTGTGTCTCCTACCGAAACTGCACAGCAGGAAGATGCTTCCGGCACCAAAGGCTTTCTGTCGACAGCCGTCAACGGGCTTCGGTTATCTAAAACAGTTCGAGCTCCCGGAGAAGTCAGAGATGTGCGGCCACTCCACGCCAAGGGCTCGTTGCAGAAGAAAATTGTCATTTCAAATAGTAGGCCCAAACAGACTGTGTGTGAGAAGCTGCCTGAAGGATTTTCCCATCTTTCGTTGCACTTAACCCAACAAAAAACAACCACCACGTCGGATTGTGAAAACACACGTCGTGGTGGCCCATCAGGGAGGTCAGAACTTCAGCCCCAGTCTGATGTGGACCATGGCATGCTCACGCCACACACGGATTACCATATAAACATGTGTGGAGAGTTGGAAAGACCAAATGCACAGATAAGGAAAAGCCGGGCTGCTTTGCAAAGAAGTATCTCATTGGGTGGGCCATACCCAGATATTTCCTGTTTACCCAGCCTGAAGCACAATTGTTCAAAGGGGGGATCATCCCAGTTGCTCATAAAGTTTGCATCTGGGCATGACGGTGGAGCTGGTAGTTGGTGGGGAGAGAGAGACTTGGCAGATGGGCTGTCTGGTGTCTGTAAGGTAAGTGTCTTCTGGTCTTGTTAAATGCTGCGTTTAGCTAGTGACTTCCCGAAACCGTTAGTTATTCTGATTATAATTGATTGTGGCAGTATCTGTTTTTCTGGACCTTGGCAAGGGAGTATTTGGAAAGCATCAACTTTATATTTGAAAACCCGAAGAACTCTCCATAGTTTCCCACTCCTCATTATTTTACCTTTTTTTTTTTTTTTTACTATTAAAAAAAAAAGTAATAGTAAAAAAAATAGAAAAAAAAAAGGCTTTTTTTTTTTTTTTTTTTTTTTATTTGTCTAAAACAAAAAATATTTCTTAAACCGTCTTTGTCTTAGTACAGTAAGTCCTGGGGTGTTTGTTTTTATGCATAGCCCCAGGTTCTCTTTTCCCACCTTCAGAAATTGTCGTTTACTTCTCTTAGTAATTATTGTGAAATAAAGCCACTGTGGAATTCTTTAAAAAAAAAAAAAAAAGTAAGCCCGAACACAAAAATGTGACAACCTGCTTATAAATGAACATAGAAGAAATAATTTTAAAATACATGCATTCGTAAGATCGCTGATTTTTAAAAAAGACTATTGTATTTCGTGTTTTAAGAAGAGGAAAAATTAATGGGTTTTGCATTTATATATACTCTAACCACAGGAATGTTGTTTCCACCCTATTTTTCTTGAGTTGCCAGTTAATGCCGCCTCCCAAAATGTAACTCAGTTTTTCAACAGTATTGATTTCTAAACTTTATGTGTTTTAATTGGCTTTAACTGACTAGGTAGTTCCTATAATTTTCTGTTTACTACATTAGTTTGTTGTTCTGACAATGTTGCTTTATTTTATTAGTAATTTAACTCTTAACAAATTTTAGCCAGATGGGCTCTTTATGTAATTTGGCTTTTCCAAAGCATTTAAAGTGTTTTGAACTAAAGGAGCCTTTAAAATTTCTGTATTTGGAAGGTCTTGCTAAATTCCAGGAAATTTAATTGTTTTTCTGACTGCATTAGCTCTAAATTGACAGCAAATAGGTTTTCCTTTTTTCTTTTTGGTTTTGGGGGGACCTTAACTGTTTTCATGACACCCAGTATTAAATATTGGGGGAAATTTTTTAGATACTGTCTAGACAAATGGAGTTAGAAAATTAGGTAATTGGTCTTTTTTTTTTTTTTTTCTTTTTTTTCTTTCTTTTGGAATCAGGCAAATATAATCATTGTTGCTGAGGTTAATCTATTAAGTTATTTTACTGGGGATAAAGAAAGATCAGCTTTTAAAATTTGGTCTGTGTTTTAGAGTTATTCATTTCATTTGAAAATTTCTTCTAAAACAGTTTTTAGGGCATTATAATTGGCTTAATTCCCTACCCCCCCCCCAAGCAATATACCAAAAGAGTTGAGCACTGGGATCTTGAAGCAAAGTTAATAATCTGCTGATTCAGTCAGTGTTACCTGCAGGCTACTCTATATTCTAAGAAACCTGAAGACGTCATTAACCTGGAAAGAATTAGAGAAATAGCCTCAAGAACAGTTGTTATTGTGGTAACATTATCATTTGTCACTGAAGCTTTCCAAGGGGGCACTTTAAATGTACCCAGTGAAATATAAACTAAATGATGTTTGCCTGGCTAAGAATATGTTTTCACGGGCCTTTAAACTTTCTAGCAAACTAACAAATACTGCTTTGTAACAACCTAATGCCTAACTTTGTGCCTGAACTCCGTTGAAAGACTCCAGAAGCTGCCATTTGTCTGACAACTTTAAGTTGTTCTTCAACATGTATTGAACCTTATAAAAAAAAAAACTGTAAGCAATATAACAGTTATATTTATTGTTCACTGTGTCTAAATTAATCTCTCTGATAAATTGCAAATTGAGAGCTCATACTAATTCCTTTTCTAAACATGAGGTAGCACAGTTATGACATTTCAGAAGTAATACTGTTTATCAATAATGATATATTAATCTAATTATAGTGGTTTATTGTAACTCACTTATAAATAAACAGCTCCCAAAATATTTCCCATGTCTCCAGTTAGTCTGGGTTCATGTTCAGATATGCTGAGTCTGCATTCACATTTAACAAGTTGATACTGGAGTTGCTCGTGGTAATGTCAGCTATCTGTCCTGAGCAGCAGTGAAATCGAATAACTGCTTTGGTCAGAGACCCTGGTGTCTGAGGCAGAGAGGTCTTCAGATTCTCTCCTCGTGTGTTTAGCAACGAGCTACCGGCAGCCTCGTGTCGCGTTGATAGCCCTCTTCTAACCCCAGCTCGTAAATGACTGATGCCTGGTGAAGACTTTACCTGTGTCTAAGACAGAGGCTGTTCCTTGTGCTTATAGCCAAGACTGGAGATAGGTTTGTGATAATGTCTATTTTAAGCAAAAACCAACTGGCTTTTGTTTTGCTTTTTGTGCATTTAGTGCATTTCAAGTGCAATATTACAAAGGTAGAGCCAGTATGATGGCCTTTGCTCTGCCAGGAAAAGTTTAGTGTTTTCATTGAGCAGTATGGTAGTTTTGTCAGAAATAGATTAAGGAGCTAAGGGGCATCATACACAGTTCTGAAAGTTAATACTGAATTTTCTAAAATCTGCATTTCACTTCCTTGTTATTCGTTCACTTTCCCCTATGTGGTATGTTCTGCATCTCCTTTGTTATGTTGTTAACATCCTCAGAGGTTCCTCTGCCTTGCTCCTCTACCTTCACACTGGACCCTGGCTTGTACATGCCTTCCGTCATCCATTTATGCTCACGTTCCATTAGGAAATCTTTGTATTTGTTTTCTTTTTGTTATAAAAGGGTTTTTTGCTCATTGTCCAGTACTGAACCCTAGGAAAGCATATTGCTTAAGCCTAAAGGAATAGATCTTAAAATATTTTTATGTCTTAATTATTATAGTCACTATTAATCTCAAGATGACACAATTCAGTAATTAATAATTCTTTCAAAGATCATGTCTTAAATAGTTGCATATTTTAGCATTCATTTTTTAGTATTTTATATTTTATGTAATTTAATGGACATTAATCTAAGACAGCAAGTCTATTTTGAATGACACTTAATCTTTCCTATAAAAAATGTATAAACAAATGTCAACCCTGGAATTGTAATCCAGCAATATAAGGAACCAGTTTTAGGAATTTGACAAAAAAAAAAAAAAAAAAAAAAAAAAAGAGTATGTTTCTTTGAGTTGAGGAATTATGGTGACTTTAGGAGTCTTCAGGACCTGGCTTATTTGCTTCTCCAAGAACACTAGGTATTCTCTGCAGGTGTGTCATTTCTGATTCATCTAGCATGCATTTCAGCATTGGGCCCTGGGAAGAAAAGATGGATAATGTGTAATCTTTGTTTGAGGGAATAGCTGCCGTTCCAGAAACAGAGACAGTAAAAAAATAACCGTCGCTAATGGTTGCGTGACCCCCCAGAGATGGACAATTGTGTGAGAAAGAAGCAGGACACTGAAGGGACCCGTTACAGAGGAAGCAGGTGTCAGGGGAGTTGGGTCTCGACACGAGTGAGTTGAAGTTTCCCAGAAAAGTCCTGATAGATATTCCAGGGCGGGGATTCTCCCTCAGCACTGTTCATATTTGGGGCCAGATAACTTTTTGTTGTTGGGGCTGGGCTGTCTTGTGCACTGCAGGCTGGTGAGCAGTGAGCCTGACCATCACACCCTCCATACCAGTTGCACACCCCCCTGGAGTGCCAGCCAAAATGTCTCTAGGCAGTGCCACATATCCTCCAGGGCCTGTGCCTCCTGGTAAGACTTGCTCCTTGAGGCAAAAGTCTCCGTGCACGAAGGCCAGAAATGTGCAAAGGCCTTGTGCTGTAGTCACTCAGTGCGACTCAAGTGAGAGGGCATGGAAGGGCATGCATGGTGCTTGAGGTGGAGTTACAGTAGGCCTGGCACCCTGTGCTGAAAAGAAAGTCCTTTATGTCCTGTTAGCAGACAGCACTTAGTCAACAGCCATCTTTATTTTATTTAAATAATTTTAAGTGTGTGTGGGTGTGTCTGTGGGGTGCCTGTGTGGGTATGTGTATGTGGGTGTAGGTTTCCTGAGAGACCAGGTGTCTTGAATCTTGTGGAGCTGGAGTGACAGGCGGTTGTGAGCCACTTGATGTGGGAGCTGGGAAGCCAACTCAGATCTTCTCTAGGAGTAGTATGTGCTCTTAGACTGAGCCACCTCTCCAGCCCTGTCAATGGCTCTCTTTATTCTACGAGTTCACTTTTGTATTTCTAAGAGGTGAGCATTTGTGGTACCTGGGACGTTAAGTGACTGCTTTTCTTCCCTTGTGTGACTAGATGATGCTGTGTACTAAGGTAGGGTGTACAGGAGGCCCTGGGAGTGCTGTCAGGGCTGTGAGAGGAGCTGGGAGTCTAGACTAATAGGTAGGAGTGTGCTCAGAGCCTCGGGGAAGGATCACCTCAGCTAGGCCATGCATCCCATGGGACACGGTGGGGACCGCTGATTTTGAGGAGAGGGGGACCCACTGAGTCAGCACGAAGTCCAGGGGAGCTCGGTGGCATGGAGTGAGGGGAAGGGCCAGAAGACAGCGTCCACGTTTACAGAGAACTCAACTGTCCATCACGTGTAGTAGTTAGCAGGCCGCTGGTGAACAAGAGTCAGCTGGGAAACCCCAGGGCTAAAGCCCAGGTTGAAATCATGAAATAGCGGGAACAGCAAGCATAGGTGCCGGCAGACAGCTAGTGTGACAGTGTGGACAAGGTCTGCTTTAATGATTGCTCCATAGAAGACTTGGTATTGGGTGATTTTAAGATGAAATAAGACAAACTCTGTCTCTACAAAGAAAGTGCTGTCTTTTCCAGGACTGGGGCATGCTCTCTGCTCTTTCTCCTTGGGACTTTAGGTAGGATGCTGTAGCAGTGTCCTGTGAGGGAACAAAAAACTATGGGTGGGAACTCAGGACTCCTGTGCATAGCTCTGATTAGTCTTTAAGGATGTAATGCTCTTATCAGTATTTTGAGAATTTCATGCATGCATACAGCATGTTCTGATCATAGTCA